ATTTGAGGCAGAGGAGGTGGTTGGAGTTGTTGAAGGATTATGATGTCACCATTTTATATCACCCGGGAAAGGCCAACGTGGTGGCCGATGCGTTGAGTAGAAAGTCAGCCAGCATGGGTAGTCTTGCTTATATTCCGGTCAGCCAGAGGCCGCTTGCTTTGGACGTTCAGGCCTTGGCCAATCGATTTGTGAGGTTGGATGTTTCTGAGCCTAGCCGAGTGTTAGCTTGCACGGTCGCTCGTTCTTCATTATTGGAGCGTATCCGGGATCGGCAGTTGCATGATCCCCATTTGTGTGTCCTTAGAGACACGGTGCAGCGAGGAGGTGCCAAGCAGGTTACCTTAGATGCGGATGGAGTTTTGAGATTGCAGGGGCGAGTTTGTGTGCCTAATGTTGATGGGCTTCGAGAGTTGATCTTAGCGGAGGCCCATAGTTCCCGGTACTCCATTCATTCGGGCGCCGCGAAGATGTATCAGGACTTGCGGCAGCATTACTGGTGGCGTAGGATGAAGAAGGATATCGTGGCATATGTAGCTCGTTGTTTGAATTGTCAGCAGGTTAAGTACGAGCATCAGAGGCCTGGTGGTCTACACCAGAGTATTGAGCTTCTAGAGTGGAAGTGGGAGCGGATTACCATGGATTTTGTTACTGGACTTCCGTTGACTCGGAAGAAGTTTGATGTGATATGGGTCATTGTTGATAGGCTGACCAAGTCAGCACATTTCATTCCTGTGGCAGTCTCCTACTCATCCGAAAGGCTAGCTGAGATTTACATCCGGGAGATTGTTCGCCTTCATGGTGTGCCGGCATCTATCATATCGGATCGGGGTACGCAGTTTACCTCGCGCTTCTGGAGAGCAGTCCAGCGAGAGTTGGGCACACGGGTCGAGTTGAGCACAGTGTTCCATCCCCAGACGGACGGTCAGTCCGAGCGGACTATTCAGATTTTAGAGGATATGCTCCGGGCTTGTGTTATTGACTTTGGAGGTTCATGGGATCAGTTCTTGCCTTTAGCGGAGTTTGCTTACAATAACAGCTACCAGTCGAGCATCCAGATGGCTCCTTATGAGGCCTTATATGGTAGGCGGTGTCGGTCTCCGATTGGATGGTTCGAGCCGGGAGAGGCTCGGTTGATAGGTACAGATTTAGTTCAGGAGGCCTTGGAAAAGGTCAAGGTCATTCAGGACAGACTTCGTTCAGCTCAGTCTAGGCAAAAGAGCTATGCAGATCGTAAGGTTCAAGATGTAGCTTTCATGGTTGGTGAGCGGGTATTGCTCCGGGTATCGCCTATGAAGGGCGTGATGAGATTTGGAAAGAAGGGCAAGCTTAGCCCTAGGTACATTGGCCCGTTAGAGGTTCTTGATCGAGTGGGAGAGGTGGCTTATAGACTTGCATTGCCACCTAGCTTATCAGCCGTGCATCCAGTTTTCCATGTGTCTATGCTTCGGAGGTATCACGGCGATCCTACCCGTGTGTTAGATTTCAGCACTGTCCAGTTGGACAAGGATTTATCTTATGAGGAGGAGCTGGTAGCTATTCTAGACCGGCAGGTTCGTCAGTTGAGGTCTAGGAGTTTTCCTTCTGTTCGTGTTTAGTGGAAAGGTCAGCCCCCTGAGGCATCGACCTGGGAGTCCGAGTCTGAAATGCGGAGCCGTTATCCCCATCTTTTTCCCGACTCAGGTACTTCTTTCTTTTGTCCGTTCGAGGACGAACGGTTATATTAGAGGTGGAGAATGTGACGACCCAAAGGGGTCATCACCTGTTTTCTTATTCATTCCGTGCTTCCGAGGCCTCGAAAAAAAAACCTCATTTAGGATTGCCTCGATTTGCGTGCGCAGTCCAGCGCGTAGCCGGAAAGCTTAAATATAAATTCTGTGTGAAAAATGCTAAAATTTGATATTAATATGAATATATTTAACTTCGGTCAACATTTCTGGTAAACGGACCCGGCCCCGTGATTTGACGATCCCGGAGGGTCCGTAGAAAAATGTGGGACTCGGGCATATGCCCGGAGTCGAATTCCGAGGTCTAGAGCCCGAGAAATGAATTTTTCCGTGAAATTGTTTTTCTGAAATTATTAAGGAAATTGAAAACGAAAATTGATTAAAAGACTGTGGTATCGGGCTCGTATTTTGGTTCCGACGCTCGGTACAAGTCTTATATATGGTTTAAGCACTTTCTGTAAAAATTTTATTGAAAACGGACGTCGTTTGACGTGTTTCGGACTCGAAATGGAAATTTGAGGCTTTATGAACATTTCAAAGAAAATCATGAGTTTTGAGGCTTGATTCTATGTATATGATGTTATTTTGGCGATGTGATCGCGCGAGTAAGTCCGTAGGATGTTTTTGAGGTTGTGTGCATGTTTGGTTTGGAGCCCCGAGGGCTCGGGTGAGTTTTGGATAGGCATCGGATTGCATTTCTCATGTTTTAAAAATCTGGTATGCTGGCTTCTGCAATTTTCGCAAATGCAAAGGGAAGACTCGCAATTGCGAGCTCGCAAATGCGAGCACTGCTTCGCAATTTCGAAGTCTGGAGAAAATGGGGCACTGTCGCAAATGCGATGGGTAGGCTCGCAAATGCGAAGGGGGGAGGTTCGCAAATGCGATGCCTCTTTTGCAAATGCGAAACCCCGCCTATACGCCCAGTGTTCGCAAATGCGAACCAAGGATCGCAATTCCCAGCCCTGTCTTGTTCGCAAATGCGAACCAAGGCTCGCAATTCCCATATCCGAGGCCCAGCAAATTTTATACTTAGTCGAATTTTCATCACTTTTCACCATTCTTTCAAAACCCAAACACCATAGGCGATTTTTCAAGAGCAAACTTCATCCCAAATCATTTGTAAGTTGATTTTTACTCAATTCTTTCAACTTTTAACATCATTAAGCATGTCTTCCACTTGAAATCAAGGATTTTCATGGGTGAAATTGGGGTTTTTCGGTAGAACCTAGGTTTTCTAAAAATTGGGGATTTGGACCTCGATTTGGGGTCCGATTTCAAAACAAATTACATATTTGAGTTCGTGGGGGAATGGGTAACCGGGTTTTGGTTCGAACCTCGGGTTTTGACCACGTGGGCCCGGGGGCGTTTTTGGAATTTTTTTGGAAAAAACTTGGGAAATTCATTTTTATGCATTCAAATTGATTCATATAGTGTTTATTAAAGTAATTGAGCAATTTGTGATTAGATTCGAGCGAATTGGAGGTGGAACCGCGAGGTAAAGCAATAGTTGAGGATTAAGTGGATTTCAAGGCTTTGAGGTAAGTGTTTGGTTTAACCCCAGCTTGAGGGAATAGGAGTTGAGTCCTGTTGCTAATTGTTATGTGATCGAGTACGGTGTATAGGCATGGTGACGAGTATCTATACATTGGTGTCTAGCATGACTGTGAGTCCTTATAATGTGATTATCATGAATTGGTTGTGAATTTCGTGTTTATTGGAAGATTTCTATATGCTGTGAATAATATGTGAACGATGATATGATCGTGGATTCCTAGAAGCATTGGCTCGAATTGTGATACGAATATTGAAGGTATATGAAATGACTTGATTCTTTGGAGCTTGGCTCAAAAATGGTAAAGTGGATTATAACATAAGAAAAGTAAGAAAGAGAAAGCGTTGTTGATTATTCCCTTGACGGGACGTTTGGTTTAACTTGTTGGTTCTTTCCCTTGCCGGGATATCTTCAAATATCTGGTTATTGTATGCCCCTTATTTGTGATTGTTGTTTGGGGAGCCAGACTGTTGAATGATAAGGATCGGGTTGCACGCCGCAACAGTGGTATTCGTGGATCGGGTTGCGCGCCGCAACAATAATATGTGAGGATTGGGTTGCACGCCGCAACAATGATATGTGATAAATGATATGGGCCGGGTTGCACGCCGCAACAGTGGAATTTGTGGATCGGGTTGCACGCCGCAACAATGGTAATTGTGGAACGGGTTGCACGCCGCAACAGTTATTGATACCATGTGTTTATTTTGAGTATTGGTTCTTGTTCACTGTAATTCTAAGCTGCTTTAGTTGGTTACTTTGGATTACTGTTAATATTGTTATCTCCCCATAGCATGTTTCCCCTCCCACATTGTTACTTGCCTGGTATTTCGATTCCGTTGTATATTTATAGCTGCACAGGTTTATGTGGTGTCCGGTCTAGCCTCGTCACTACTTCGCCGGGGTTAGGCTAGACACTTACCAGCACATGGGGTCGATTGTGCTGATGCTACACTTCTGTGCAATTTCTGCACAGGTCCAGGTTTTGAGGAGCAGCAGCAGCATTAGTACGGGAGCAGGCTTTCACTTTACGAGACCGAGGTAGCCTTGCAGGCGTCCGCAGGCCCGGCGTCTCTTCCTTATGTTCTCTTTAGACTGTTGCCTCATTGTTTTCGAGACAGACAGCTTATATGTTTCTTTCAGACCTTTGTATTTAGTAAATTCGTAGCAGTTCGTGAGTAATGTGACACCAAATCTTGGGTAGAGGCTATTGTTGACTATTCCGCGTTTTGATTCAGACTTATAAATTAGACTTCCGCTATTATTATTATTAAATTCCATATTACTTATTGATGCTATAGATTGTTAACAGATTTATTTATTAATGAAAGGTAAATAAGTTGGCTTGCCTAGCTACCACGAGTAGGCGCCATCACGATCCCGATGGTGGGAAATCCGGGTCGTGACAAAAGCTGGGAAATGTAACATTCTAGGTAAATCTCACAGACAAATCCACAGGAGATAGATATGCTGGCTGTGTCTTAAATCATAAAGACGTGTTTTAATTCCAAGTGATTAATTCCGCCTTGTATGCGTAGTATTATCTCTTAGATGACCTAAATCGTGATATATAAAAGTTAAACACTTAATTAAAAAGACATATTAATGTCTTATGACTAGTATAGTTATGTTAGCTACATGTATCTTCCGAATCCGGGAATCGTAGATATGACTGCTACTTGCTAGAGAAAATAATCAAATGCTGACAATATTATACAAGGATATGACAATAAAACTAAAAACACTTAGCTTTGTAGATGTTGCCAGCGAACCATCTCATATATTTTACAGATTATGATCACAAGAGGAGTTTAATTAGTACATAATTGCCTGCAGCATAAACAAGGAAGACAAGGGAATTCTTATGGACGACTATATTTTAACCATAAAAGTTAAAAGCATGGCTAACATGTACTAACTTTAAAAACCAAATAAGAACTCCTTATCGCAATTGGCTAGCTAGGACCACCATCTGTTTTGGATTAGTATCATATCACTTTTCTGAGGATCCCACCACTCACTAAAAATAGAATCCAGTGCCTTTATTTATCACTCTATATATGTACTCTATTCAATTTTGGCTCTGGTTGATTTTTTCTTTTGCATCCATTCTTTACATTGTTAAACTTCTTCTGGCAATTTTAGTGAACAGGTTAGCACAGCATCTGCAACTGTGAGAAATATCTTGTCCTCGCCGATTTGACTTGGAAAATTGGATGCATGTAGCTTGTCAATCACCACTCTTCCGGGGTTCGAGAGAACAAGCTGTTCAAGAAATGAACAAGGTAAGATTTTTAGACACAAATTTGTAGTTTTTGAGGTTAAAATACTACTCTTATCTGTCGCGTTACCAAAAAAAATTTCCAAGATATGTCATTTTTTAAAAGCCAAGAAGGCATTAACTTGTTGGCTTTGACCTTACTCCAAAAATGCAACAACAACAACCTAGTAGAATCCCACTAGTGGGGTCTGGGGAGGGTAGAATGTACGCGGACCTTAACCCTACCCCGAAGGGATAGAGAGGCTGTTTCCGGGACACCTTCGGCTACTCCAAAAAGGCATATAGTGATTAATTACTCGTTAAAGGAAGAGATAAGAGTAATTTAGTAAAATAGCCATTATGATAGAACGAGATCAAAAGATTTTCTTAATGGATAAAAATGACCGGATGGAATGTTTTAGTATAACTCACTTTATGAAGTTAATTAAGATCATTACCTGAACACCTCTTTTTTTTAGGCTTCTGAGCAACTCATCCAAGGCATGGATGCCACTGGTGTCAATGTCAGTAACAGCTGCAAGTAGAAAAGAAGAAACACGAGGAGTCGCTAAGTAGGATAACATGCTCTTAATTTCAGCGACAAATTAAGGTAAACTCTACTTACGTGACATCTCAACAATCAAGAATTGAATTTTAGGAAGGCCAGCTGCTTTTAGTTGTTCTTCCTCATCCGTTAACCATCTCAATATCCTGAATAACAAGTTAGTTTGTTAAGTTCCTACTTCTTGTCAATATAAAACTTCAGATTAAAAGTAAGACAAGAGTCCTACCTTTCCTTTATGTAGTTAGAGTTTGAGAAGTATATAGCTGAATCTACTCTCACAATCAATACACCAGGAACTTTTGTTGCCTCAGGGTATTGCTGAATGTTTCTATATACATTTGTCCGGGGTATCCTACCAAGAGTAGCTGTTCGCGGCCTTGTGACTTGGAGGAGAATCTTAGCAAATGATATTGTGACCTATTTAATGATAAAATACTATCAGCTCTGATTGTTGAATGATGATAATTTTTCTCAAGTAAACAGTTAAGTTGCTGGATGCCCTTACCGCAATTAAAAGACCAATCTCAACAGAGGCAAAAACCACGCCAAAAAATGCCCCCATGCAAGCGACAAAATCAAATTTGTCAATCTTCCAAATCAAAATTGCAGCTTCATAGTCAATTAAACCAAGTACGGCAGAGATAATGATGGCAGCAAGGATTGCATTCGGAGTATATTTAAAAAGAGGGGTTATGAATTCCAAAGTTAGGAACACGACAACAGACATGACAATGTTGGAAACTGCAGTTTGGCAGCCAGCCATGTAATTTACGGCTGAGCGAGAGAAGGAACCTGCAAGACGTTAGTTGATCGATTAGTTGAACAAACCATTATAAATGACAGAAATAACTGAATAGTAATAGGTATATTAGCGAAGAATTCTTGTTACACCATTAGGTTGGCCTGATAATGGAGCATAACACATCCACATATGATAGTGCATCAGATGAAAGATAAACAGATGATTTGATATTGATGCATTTGGCTGCTTAAATGAAACCTATGTGTAGAAAGTTTAAAATACATTAATGTTTACTCAAACTCCATTTTCTTGTACATATGTCTTACCTGTTGCTACATAGCAGGAAGTCATTGAGCCAACAATATTCATAGCTCCAAGTGCCACCATCTCTTTGTTTCCGTCCAACTGGTAGTCCTTCATTGAAGCAAAGGTTCTTCCAATTGCAACAGCTTCCTATGAAACAGAAGGTAAACATCAGGTATCGATTAGAAAGATGTCAAGGTTTCCTGCTTCAACATTTCATTAAATAATTTGCTTACCGTCAATGCAATCATGCCAGCTACAATACCAGTCCTAAGCCCTTTTAAGAGATAGTCACCAGTGAAATATATTTCCTTGACTGAAGGAGGATTTATTCCTTTCTCAATGTGTCCTACCTGGTAACGTTGTCATAGAAATGATTAAAAACAGATCACTATGCTCCAATCAAAAATTTAATGAAAGTAGGAGGCACCTAAAACAAGCACTTACAATCGCGACTCCCTTTTTTTCAGCATGAGTAATGTAGACAAAGAAGGTGGAAAGAATGACAGAAATCAACGGCGCAATTGCAGGTACCCAGAACAGCCTTTTGTTCTTCTTACCCTGGTTGCCAAGTTACTTTAGAACCAAGGAAATTAAAGGCTACCAAATTCTTACATAATTTAGTCCACAGAACTTAGGACTCTTACAATGTACTTTGCGAACAAAAGGAAAGTTAAAAAGGTTGCTCCAATGAGAATTGTCTGCCAGTTCCACTGCAAATTGTTGAAAAATAAAACAAGAAAGAATAAAATTTCAAGTTCAAGTTATCCATAAAAGACATCTTATGTAAAATGCTCTTTAGTGGCAAGAAAACTTACTCCATGGTTGGCTGAATGCAACACTGATTTCATTACAGATACGATATCTGTTTTCTTAGTAAACTTCTTTATGCCTAAAAACCCTTTAAGTTGCTGAAGTGCAATCGTAATTGCAGCACCACCCATGAAGCCAACAACAGCAGCGTGAGATAGGAAGTCAATTAAGAAGCCCAATCTGCCAAGAAAGCAAAGCAAGAAATAAACAAAAAACCAACTAAATCTGATGAAACAAAGAAATGAAAGGACAAGATATTACAAGTCCTAAACTTGGTACTTATTGTATTAATCACCTTAGGATCCCAAGAGTAGCCTGAGTAATGCCAGCAAAAAAGGTAGCTGTAAATGCAAGCCTCAGATACTCATGTGGATTTGTAGTCGGATCAATTTCATTCCGGAGTAGAGTACCTAACAAGAGTGAGACAACAGCCACAGGCCCTATGGCTATATCTCTCGAGCTGCCCATGAAGGCATAAATCAGAGGCGGAACAAAGCTGGAGTCTGGAATTTCAAACAAAGAGAACAATGAAAAGACTTCTTAACACATATGATAAGAAGTTAACAACAAGCTGGAAACTCACATAATCCATACTGAGGAGCTAAATTTGCAAGCTTTGAATAGCCAATGTCCTGTCATAACAGTTGAAAGTTTTTGATAAGAAATTTATAAAGATCTTAACAATCTTGATTTCTTTAGTAAAATAACTCCAGGCATTCTCTTTACCTGAGGAATGCAAAGGCTTGCAATGGTGAGACCAGCGATAAGATCACCTCTGAATTTAGCAAAATTATAGCTTCTACCCCATTCTAGTATTGGAAATATAGCCTGTAAACCAAGGACAAACTTCCTTGACCTTGGTTGATCCTTAAAGCAACGCAGTGGATCGTCTGCAAAGAACGTTTCCTTCACAGTAGTCTTAAACTCCTTGAATATATCCTGTTTTGGGGGGACTCCAACCTTGTGAATATAGGGCGTTTGGTTGTGTCGCGAGGATGAAAAACTTCTGATATCCATCTCTTTTGTTTCTTCTGCCTCAACACTAGAATGACCCATGCTAGATAAGAACAGCTAATTCACCTGTAATGAAGAGGAAATACAATTGAGCTATATCACCAAATGAAATACTCCACTAAATTTCATTCAAGCATGTTACTGAATCCAAATCAAGATATTGAATTAACTTCCATTAGGATTTTATTAGTAAAACAAATAAGAAGTAAAGCCATGTGATAAAATAAGAAGTTACACCAATCTTTTCAAATTAGATCAAAGCAGAGAGAGACTTTTACTGCTAATAAAGTTCCAAATCTTGTTGAACTTTGTACTACATTAGAAAGTTCTTGCTTGTCCATTATATAGATAATCAGGAAACTACAGGTTAAAGTTTTTCAATCTAGAAGAGTATTAGTGGTGGGCTAAAAGTAAGCTTTTGCTTAGCACATTCTAGTTTTAGAAACTACATCACAATTTTATATTCTCACCATTAGACAAATGGATCATCGATAACCATTGATTTAAAGAAAGAACGATTTGTTAATGACCGCTATAATTTGAATAAAGCTGGTATGAAAAGATTGAACAATTGACAACACAAAGTAACAGCATCTACAGTTTGGTATGTTATCAGAATTAGGGCAGGTCATTCTCCTAACATGGGACATAACTTTTCACCAGGAGGAATATAGAACCTTAAATGTTGTAATGTTTCTCTAGTTTTAAGTTCATGAAAGAGAACCTAATACTTTGTTCAAAATTGAACAACTCAAAAGGGGCTTTAAGTTTATATCAAGCATTGATTTTATTCTGTTTGAGGAATTAACTTATTGATGCCTCTTCTAATGCAGGCATCTACCAAAATGTCTTGTTGTAATTACTTGAGTGCTTTATAAAAGTTAAAGAACTAAGTAGAGATGAATAAATCACCACAAAATGAGACTCAAAACGGTTTTAAAGCAGAACGAACCTATATACATGTGCGAAAAACAAGTATTGATAAAGTTAGATATACATTTCAGAACATACTCTCGCAACTCAAACGCATCGTCTAAATTTTGGACTGACACTAAACTCATGGTATATTTACAAGGTTAAGCTCGTTCTCTTTTAACTTTCGATATACATTTCAAAACATACTCTCATAACTCAAACACATTGTGTAAATTCTGGACTTGACACTAAACTCATGGTATATATACAAGGTTATGCTCGTTCTTTTTTAACTTCTCTCTATTTCCCACTGCCTCAGAATTTCTCTAAGTACTTCCATCAAATGTGTTTGGATGGAGGATGAAGAAAATGCTAAATTAAGTAAAAGAAGTCATGAACTGACTAAAAGTTGAAGTCCAGATTACATTATTGGAATAACTTAATATAATAAAGTTTGTTATTCCAATTTTAGCAGAAGAAACAAGCATTGGCTAGACTAAAGCCAACTTCCATACGCCTTATTTAGAAACCATTGATAGTGGACCACATTAGCACCTAATAAAATAAACATTAAAACGTCCACCCACTTAGCCTTATGGTCCCATAAAATTCTACTTATAAAGAAGTACAAAAGGGTAAAAGTGCAGTTATGTGTCACATAACTTTTGTCCATTTTTATTTACAAAAGAAACACATATATGGTCAGAGCAAGATAATAAATCGAAAATTCATAATATTGCCTTAGGAGGATAGTGTCCCACTTTTCTGGGTTAGTGAGGCATCAATTAGTTTCAACTCCAACTCTCTTTATATAGTTATTTAGTCCAAAATCTTTTAAGATACATATATCTATATTAAATTCGCACACATTATTACAAATGAAAGTAGACACATTCATAATTTATTAACTTAAAATTCTTTTTTTCAATAACTATGATGTCCGGGCTAGTTTGAGCACATCTCGACTAATTCGACGAGATATACTAGGACAAGTAGGGGCACCTCTGTGGCCCCCAAGACTTGGACAGACGATTGGACCATTAACTTAAATTTTTGAATCAATCTCTTTCAAAAAGCAAAATGTAGATAAAAGTAAGGTACGCACATTCGATGGTCCTGGTACTTCAGAGATTAAAAAAAAGAAAAAAAACAACTGACCTGAAGAGAAGCAAGAAACCAAGTAATGTCCAGGTTCAATGAATCCACTTTGTTCCTGGATTTTTTTTTAATTATTTAACTTTCCCCTCTAATCATCACAGAAAAGAAACGAAAAACCTGGAGATTTGCTATCCTCTGTTTAGATACCCAGATGAATGCATGTTCGGGGAGTGGAGGAAAAAAGCACAATTGCTGGTTACTTTGAAAGTGTTACTATTATTTGTTTGTGTCAAAATGGGAAAAGAGCGTACTAATTTAGTATTATTAATTTTTCTTTTGAATTCCACGTCTGTAAGGGGAAAAAAGTAAACTTCATACCATAGAAGTCATTCGTCAACTGTATGAGATTTAATTAATTTCCACAGAATGTGGGGTCTGGAGTTTTAATGGTTCTTGACGTAGTAGCGTCCCGGTTCATTGGAAAAAACAAAAGGGGGGGGGGGGGGGGGGAGGGGCGGGGCGAAAGGACGACCTTGTTCTTATTTGACGAAAAGACTTACTTTGGAAAAGTCTTCGGTGGACCTAAGGTTTTGGAGTTTGGGTCTTCCACTCTGAAGCTTTCTGGAGCCCACTTTCTTGTTAAAATAGCACGGTATAGTCAGTTTTCGGATTGATCATTCAAAAATAGCCAGCGTTTACCAAGTCAATGAAAAATAACCACTCTTTTGCTGCAGCAGAGACCGGTCCAGCATAATATACTGGAGTTTGGTGCACATGTGTATGAATCCAGCATATTATGCTGGACCGGTATACTTTGCTGGCTCCAGTATAATATACTGGAGACTGGAGCACCGGTGCTCCAAACTCCAGTATATTATGCTGGACCGGTATACTTGCTGGAACTCCAGTATATTATGCTGGAGTTCTAGTGTACTTATGCTGGAACTCCATCATATTATGCTGGAGTTCCAGCATACTTATCTTGGAACTCCAGTATAATATGCTGGAGTTCAAGTATACTTATGCTGGAACTCCAGCATAATATACTGGCGTATTTTTCGGGTTTTGAACAGTGTTTTCGCTCAGATTTATCTTTACATGAAAAGTGGCTAAATATCGATTACTTTTGAAACTGGGCTATTTTTGAACGACCAGTTGTAAATCTGACTATTTTTTAATTTCACCCCACTTTCTTCACAAGTCCTGGGAAAAAAATTTGGGGTTTTGACATAGCTACTCACAAAAACAAAACTATTTGCCCTTGTCTACCCATTTGTTTTTCTTCCCATAAACTAATTACATTTTCTACCCATAGTAGTTTTTGTAGGGAATTTTTTCTTTATTCCTAATTCTTTTTTATTTCTATGCTTCTTTTCTTTCTTTTCTTTCTTTTTTTTTCATTTCCCTTTTCTTTTTTCTCGTTTTCTTCTTATTTTTTTCTTTTTTCCTTTTCTAATTTCATTTAACTTCTTTTTTGTATATTCTTTTTCTCTTCATAGTCTAATTTCATTTACTGTTTTTATTATTTTTTATTATTCTTTTTTTATATTATTACTAAAGAAAAATCAAATTGTGTACCAATTAAATGTAGCTAATACAACCAAAAAATATTAACTAACAAATGATACCAGTATAGTATATAGCTATACCAACAGGGTATACAATTGTACGCAAAGAGTTAAAAAAAATAATTCAATTATTAAACTGAATAATATCAGTTGTCAATAAAAATTTCAAAAAATTCTAAAAGGATCTAATTGTAAGAGTATACCATTACATTACATAGCATACTATAATTTTTTTTTGCATTTTCAATTTGTCCCTCACGCTGGGTAAAAGCTTAAAGCAAATTAAAAGGGAAAAGGCAAGTGAATTTACGGGTAATAAGTATACTATTATAGTATATTGTATACTACTACAGCATACTGTTACACTATATTGCATATTATTACAGTATACTATAACAATATATTGTATACTATAATAGTATACTGTTGCAGTATAACTATATACTCCTATAGTATATTGTATACTGCAGCGGTATATTGTTAGGTAACTGTGTTCTTCTTCGATTATTACAATATACCGTTGCAGTATATTGTAAACTGTAATAGTATATTGTTGCAGTATAGCTATATACTTGTATACCGTAGCAGTATACTATTGGGTAGCCGTGTTCTTCTTCGATTTTTAGCTGAAAATTTCGATCTCAATCACCTCAAATCAGCTCCAAATGCTATCAAATTTCAGTATGAACTTCCAGAAGGTATTATAAGCAATATTAACAATACCCACTTTGAATCAAACAAGAAATCTTCAAAATAAAAATTTTAAGGCAAGGCAAGAGCAAGAGCTAGGGAAAGAACAATCAAGAAAAAGTGGAGCAGAATTGAAACTAGCCAGAGGTCAACTTCTCAGATAATCAGATCGAATTTCTTTTTGAGAGGGATATAAGAGAAATGGAAGAACAATTTTGTAAGAATAAATTACAAGTAACTCAAGAAGTAGCAAACAAGGAAATAATTCAAGGATTTGGAGTTACTAAATTAAGACCAAGCCTTCTTTTTCTTTCTGGGTCACTTTCATTCTCACTCTACAAAACCCAAACTACTCAAAAATAATAATTCCTCAAACTAACAATAATTCCTCAATTTTGGCGAGAATATTTCAAGAAATCATATGGGTAATACTATTTTGGCATTAATTTTGGTATTTTGTTATTGGTTTTCTGAATTTTTTGAGGTGGTGACTGTTGGATCTAGTAAAAAGGAGAAGATGGTGTTTGAATATATAGAAGAAACTAGAGATAAGGTTGAAAAATACATAAGGGGTTTCAGAGAAAAAGGAAAATAACATGAATTGGGGAATTGCTGATATCAAGAAGAAAGAGAGAAGTGAAGAGAAGAGACCGCACTCTTTCTGATTTTTCTCAGCTATTTTAATAGAATAAATGAATAACCGGGTAAATATTTTGAGCGGCATGGGTAGGAGTAGTAAATAGTTTGGGCATGGGCATTAAAGGGTAAATAGTTTGGAATTAATGAGTATAAAGTGAGATTTTCTCAAAAAATTTGCCAGTATTTTTATAATAAAAATGATTTTTTTTCATTTAGCAAATAAATTTTTTTATCAAAATAATGTGCTATTTGTACATCATGCCCCTTTACAATTTTGAATTTAAGAAAATGACCTTTTTAGATCTCTTGTGTGTAAAAGACGTATCTCTTAAGTGTAAAAGTAAATCTCCCATATGTAAAAAAAAGAGATAGAGTCATAAAACTAAAAACAAGTTTGTGAAGAGCCAAAAAATCAATTGACCACATCTATTTAAGACTACAAGATTCAAAGTATGTTATTGATATGTCACATATGCATTTAGTTTACGATCAAAAGATCCAAAGAATATTTTTAATATGTTAACACGCATTTAATTAGTTAAGATCACAAGATTTAAATATCTTCTTTTAATTTTTAAATATCGTGCCTAATCAAACTAGACACATAAAATAAAATAAAGAAAATAGTAAGAAATATATATATGAATTAATTATGCTTAATGATAAGTCTTATATAAAAGAAAAATATCGTGCAATTGTTAATTTAATATATGCACCAAGTACGAAAAAGTATTTCGTCTCCTTTTGTGCTACTTCTGGAAATAAAACCAGCTCAACCCCTCTTAAAGGAGAAATTGAAATCTCTTTTGTTCCTGCTAATTTTTCTTCTTCTGTGGGGGTGAGTATATGAACAGTAGAGAACTATAAGATAAAAGAGATGACGATAGATGTTGGTATCCTGAATTTAAGTAGTGTAAAAAGTAGTTAGAATAAGAGCAAACTTCATTTGTAGTCACTAGGGCCAAACATATATCACCTGATAGCCACAAAATAACCGCTTACAAGTAATAGCCTCAAAACAATAACAAAGGCTAGCAACTGAAATAGCTGAAACTATACGCTCAACGCAAACGAAAAGGAAAGCAGTCGTAATCGATTTTGTATCCTAAATTCACGCGTTCAGTATGGGATCTTCAACCTCCAAACACTATAAAAGTCGCCCAATTATTCACATTGTGAAAAAAATTCTAGGGTTTCTGAAGATTAAACCCCGAGAAGAGCTCCCTAAAATTCACGCTGAAATTCAAAGTTTTTGCATAATTATTGCCTACAATCAGCTTAATAGAGTTGAGATTTCGTTCTTAAATTGTGAAATTGATACAAAATCGACAAAATCAACTAATGTCTATGGAGATTGTGAATGTTAGAACTACCGTTCCAACTTTGATTCCTATTTTACTTCAACACAGTGGTGAATGGGTAAGTGAGAGTAAATTTATTAATTTCCTTGTTAATGGCGTGTTGATCAATTCGGGCTGTAGCTATGATTATTTTGTTGATGAGATATACAAGCAATTGGGTAGAGATCCAATTACAAGTGCAATGGTGATTTAAAATATACAGTGAAGGATGGCTATATAGCAATTCCAATATACAATGATATGAGCGTGCGCTTGTATATGGAGATGAAAAAGAAAAACCTGAATATCACTGAATATCCATTATGCATAACATTGAAAACTGTGTATTCAAGTGCTGAATGCTCATATTCAAGTTCATACTCGGGTGGCAACTTACTCGCAACAACTTCGGCTGGAAACTTACTCGCAACAACTTCAGTTGGTTTACAATGTCAGAACGTAGAAGAAGTACACGGAACTAATATTGTTGAGATGATGGATAATCATGTAAAGGAAGACAAAATTGAGATATTGAAGGGAAATTGTATAATAGACAATCCACAACATGAAAAAATTGCAGAAGGTCAGTTGTATTGGGACAAAGATACACTCATTAGTGTAATGAAGCACAACGCAATACGAGAAAAATGTCAATTTATAGTGGATAGATCATCTACAACAAGGTATGATTTCTACTTATGAGATTGCACTTCTCTATAATTTTGTGTATACAGATCTGTATAAAAAATGTATAATTATTGTATAGTGTAAATTTATATATACAGATCTGTATAAAAAATGTATAATTATTGTATAGTGAGATTGCATATGTATACAGATCTGTATAAAAAATGTATAATTATTGTATAGTGAGATTGCTTATGTATACAGATTTTTATACAAAATGTACAATTATTGTATAGTGTAATTTTATGTATACAGATCTGTATAAAAAATATATAATTATTGTATAGTGTAAATTTATGCATACAGATCTGTATAAAAAATGTATAATTATTGTATAGTGAGATTGCATATGTATACAGATTTGTA